AAACAATAAACTGTTTAAAACTTTAAGAAGCATGAAAAGCCATCACATTCAAAGAACAAAATACCAAATTACACAAAAGGCAAGTTTATTTCATTAGTTGAAGTACAATAAACAGTTCCTGTTGGGATTTCTTATGATCAATGAAATGTCTTGAAACCAGAGAAACAGGAAAACCATTAATTTTGGGCCTGGGCAAGTTGCAACATAAAACAAAACCTGTTCGTGATCAATTGTTTCTTGGGTGAGTCAAGCCAGCCCAATGGATTCAGTTTGTTATTCACAGCATGGGTGATGATGAGAATGTAGCAAAATATTCTTAATGGAGATGCACATACTCTTGTAATGGGAATAAGTATTAGGAAAATAGCATGTGGACCATTAAAATATTAGAGTCTTAGACATTTAGAAGTTGGATATACATACAAGGAATATTATGGATAACACCTTGATTATTATATATATATTTAAACATACCGTATTCGACGTAATAAGCGCCCCGCTCTAATAAGCGGCTAATATATTGGCTAGTGAACAATCCCAATTGGCACCCTTCCAATTAATCAATGTACACAAGACTTATTTTTTCGCGTATAATACGTGCTCGTGTGTTATATGCACCCTTAATTATGGGCAATCAAATTCTGGAAAAATATATCTGTCGTACATAAACATTTCAGGCTGTCAGCATAAACCATGAAATTTATCTTTCAACTCTGTTTTTTTCACCAAAATAATATTCTAATAAGAGCCCTGTTTCTAATTTTGAGAGCGCCCTGGGCGCTTATTACGTCTTTATATCATAAAGAAGTTGCTAGCCAAAGCATTCCTTGGTATACATTAAAATATATGTTGACTAGTGTTGAGGAAACTATATTACAAGAGCTGGGAAAGTTGGAGGAAGATTGTGTATCAGAGATTATACAGCCTCAGAAAATTTCATCCTTGTACGCATAAATTCACCAGGAAGCTCTCTTTCATTCACAAAATAATTACTATTCAAAATCAGTCAGGCAATACATTAGCAGGCCATCTGTTGCATGAAATCTTAAATGATCTAAAACATACTGTTTGGTCTGTCTGTCTTCTCAACAACTAATATCTGTAATAGATTCAATTTTGAGGGGCGGTCGGGTAGCCCAGTGGTTAAAGCGTTTGACCCGGGTTCGATTCCCGACATGGGTGCAATGTGTGAAGCCCATTTCTGGTGTACCCCGCCATGATGTTGCTGGAAAATTGCTAATAGCAGCGTAAAACCATACTCACTCACTCACTCAATTTTGAATCTTGAATCTCGAATCTCGAATATGCCTCAACTCATAATTTTGATTAACTGACTCATCCAACACAAAATCCAACTCTATTCTAAGAAAACAATAAACAGAATGAGTGCACATAATATATTCATATAGACACCTGGTGACCTTGCGAGGTAATAATGACCTAATATCAGAGCTAAAGGTTTTGGTCCTACTTCAAACATCAGTATACTTACACCTTCACGTTTGTTGTGAAATCCTTCACAAGTGACTGTGACGATAGTGATCTCCGATACCCCAAACAAGGAACTCCTAAACCTGTCACAGGGGTCAACTTGGATTTTCTGACTTTTCCTGGTCCTTGAGCTCCGCCCAAGTATGAGACCAGCTGGGAGGACATGTGCTTGTGATTGTGACGGTCATGTAAGGTGATGTGTAACTTTGTCACCAGCCAATGAGTCGTCAGTTGCCAGGGAAATAGCATACAAACCACCACATAAACAGGACTGCTCTTTTGAATTTTGAAAAACTGTGACTTCCTAAACATGAATAGTTGTGTTTTTCATTTCTATGAATCGTAACTCGAATTTATTCTTTCTGTGAAGTAGATATGCATCGTTACATTAACAGAATACTACTTTATTATTTCATATGACGCCAGTATGCCATTTAAAAAAAATTCAATGACAGAATACGATTAAAAATATAAGTTTCCTTATATTTGTGAATTTATTCAATCGAATAAACGTTTAATTTCCATTGAAGTTTTCTTTCTGTCAAATACTTCTGGCAGGAGAAAATGTTATGAATAAGATATCCCACAGTGCACCACATAAGGAAGTGGTAGGACAGAAGTGTTGACAGAGGTGACTGACAAGCTGTCAGTTGCAGACACCTGCATCACTCGGACAAGGAACACAGAGTTGTCTACCCCTGACTCATCACTGTTGGTGGCCAATGTTCACGAATAAAGGAGATTTTCAATTAGGCCAGAAGAAAATAATTGTTTTTCTGATTGATGACCCCAGATTGAAAACTAAGTACATTCATTGCCATATCTCAAATTATCAGTTGGATGATATCTGATAAATCAAACAAATAATTCAAGCATTATATAATCCAATATAACATCACACTCATTCAATCATTGTTTTACTGAGATCATAAAGTCACAAATGCAACGTAAAATCAAAGATTAAACCAAAAGTTTCAAACTCAGATTCTTTTTGTCCTTGACCTTTAACTATTCTCCATATGGGGCAAAAATAAATATTCATTCAAGTCTGTATATCTTAAGTCAAACGATTAACTCAAGTCTGCTTTACTCAAACACATGGCTGTGACAGTGTGATCAGTGTGTCCGACGAAGACAACAGTAATTCTATCTGCCTTGGGTGTGTAATTTGTTAAGCTGCATGTTTTTCAGGCAGTGTAAAATTTCCTGATTGAAGTAGCGATACCACCAGGAGGCACAGGGAAGCCAATACTACTCAGGAATAAACTTGTGAGAAAATATGTATCTTGCCCTGCTAATCTGTCTGTCTCAGATAAACATCGTATACAATTTGTTTAGATATGTGGTTGTCAATCATCACGGAGAACGAATGCATAGCTTGAATAACATTGAAACTTTATGGTATTCCAACATACCATGCTTTACTGTAAATAAACATACTCTCAATACCTTTGAAAACTTCCATGAAAAGGCATTTCTTAAAATTTCAGATTACGAATGTATTTGTATACTACAAACCAAGTGTTGTGGATTGATTCCAGCAAACCTTTGTTTCGGATCAGCTCAAACGTGAACAATACTTATCATGGATATTCCAAATGCCAAGTATTTCGGTCAATACAGCCGCATATTTATTCAGGAAATGTTGAAAATAAACCCTCTCCTCATATCACACTCTACACCATTCAAACTGATAACTTGTGAGTTTTGTTAAGTATTTTCTTTAATAAGACGTATAAGACTTTCACACCTATACTGTAAACACATCTGAGCTCTAACACTGAAGTACAGCTTCCCTGGCAACTAACATCAAGCTGGGCCATCTAGTGTTTACAAACACACAACAAAGACAAGAGTAGTTGTTTTGACACTAGCACCCAACAGCAGAACACATATTCCAGACAACTACCTCCCATGTAGACAGCCTGCAGCTGTGTTTTGGGAGATCTCAAACGGTCATGTTAAGATAATGAACAGTAATATGTTAGGGTCTTAGCTATCTTTTGAAGACGGGTCCAGACCCCCTCCTTCAAGCAACCTCCTCACTCGACCACCCCACATCCCCTCAAGATCTGTCAGTGGAGGGGGGCAACAACTGTAAGTGTTCCCCTCCTAAGCTGCGTCTAGACTTAATAAACACTGACCAGGGATTAAAGTTCTAATCCTATTGTGTAACATACTTTGCTGCTTCTAAGACCCTCAAGTTTTACTGACTTGATGCTGAAACCATTCATGATTCCCCTCCAGGCAGACATAATGTGTACTGATTGCTGCCGTGAAGGGGGACGGTTGATCCCTGCCACCTCCACACCCAAATCTGTGCCAGTTGTCACCTGACAACTCAGTGAATATGGTTTTAACCAGCTTTTAACATTACATGATTAGTTTTACATACCATGGCCGGTGACACCAAGAATGAATGGGATTAGCACATTGTACCCATGTGAGGAACAGCATCCAGGTCATTGGCATAACGAGCCAATGCTTTACTACTGTGCTGCCCATAGACTAACATTTAGTCTCTGAAATCTTATATTACACAATATCCTTCTTGACTCTAAAAATATTAAAAAAATTCCCCATGCTGATTTGTGGAATAGAGCTAGCTTGAGCTGGCTAGACTTACTTTTGTATGCATTTCTAGATTATTTTTTTTTCATAAAATAAATATATTCCACGGTCATGGTGCAGGACTATGCTACTCAGTGTTCGAACTTAAGTGGGTCCTCCTTGGGGTTCGCTCCTAGTTTGTTTGTTTGCTGTTTGATGCCACACTCAGCAATATTCCAGCTGTATGATGGAGGTCTGTAAATAATCAAGTCGGACCAGACAAACCAGTGATTGACATCATGAGCATCGATCCACGCAATTTGAATACGATGACATGCATCAGACAAGTCAGCAAGCCTGACCACCTGATCCCGTTAGTCGCCTCTTATGACAAGCATAGTCGCCTATTACTGCAAGGACGGGTTGCTGAAGACCTATTCTGCCCAGGATCTTCAGAGGTCTATTTGATCTAGAGACCCCCTTGAAGTTTACTATGAGGACCCTGATTTTCATGCTTCTTTCTGAACACTGCTCCCCAACCCAACTTGAAAGACTCTTGGTGTACACAACTGAAATTCATTGCATTAATAACTCTGAAGGACAAATCTTGATATGTTTTTGATGTGTCATGTTATTATTATTCATAAGCAAACAAAGGGTTCCATGGCCTTTAAAAGAGTTGCTACTTTCCACCGAACGGTGAATGATGATTGTTGATAAGGATCTCATGGATAGAGTGCTATGTTCCAGTGCCACACACGGTTGTGTCCTTGACAACCAGCACTCCATGTTTTTGCACTATTGTACACAAAAAGCCTTCAGGACAAGTGACATCGACTCAGCCTTGAGTTGTCAGAACTCCGACAACAGCTGGTCTCACACGACAACACTGGCCACAATACCCCTCCATGCCTGTATGTATACCTCCCTACTAGGCATATATATACACATGTCATATCAGCACAAACACACATCTATCATTCCTTCTTGTCCCATGCAGATGTGTGCCAGATGGTGACAACAAGCTACACACAGCATACAGAGACACAGTGACAGGGATGCAGTGATATATTACCTGCCAAGTACTTACATTGATAAGTATATATACAACAAATGCCCTAATCAATATAAGGTAAGTTCAGAATCTGCCAGAATATAGGAGTTATAGAACTGTCAACGATATCTACCATATATTTCATGACGTAGATGGAAATTTCATAAAAGATCATTCCTTCTGTCAAAGATATATATTTCTTAATCAGGCACATGTTTGGATATAACTTGACAATTTCCTTTTCGCGAACACCTGGTATCATCACTATATATAAACACACAAAGAAAGTCGGCATCATACAATGGACTCTGCTCTCACCAGAGATTTCTTATGATTATAGAAATGTTATAGTCACTTTTATAAATGTGAAAAAAAAGACATGCAGACAATTGCAGTGGGAGCATATTGTAAAAGAAGGGGGAAACAGTATCAAGGGATTTTATAAATCTATTGCAGCAAGATCATATTGTAAAAGAAAGGAGAAACAGTATCAAGGGATTTTATAAATCTATTGCAGCAAGATCATATTGTAAAAGAAAGGAGAAACACTAGCAAGGGATTTTAGAAATCTATTGCAGCAAGATCATATTGTAAAAGAAAGGAGAAAAAGTAGCAAGGGATTTTATAAGTTTCTCTTAACAAAATGTTAAGATTAAAATAAATTACCTCCAAATATGAAGAAAGTGACCACTACCATTAATAGGTAATTATTAAGTGTCCCAAATGTCCTAATGTTTCCCACCCTCCAGAATATGAACAAAATGACAAATACCTTTCATACATAAAATCATAAGTGTCCCAAATGTCCCAAATGTCCCAATGTTTCCCACCCTCCAGAATATGAACAAAATGACAAATACCTTTCATACATAAAATCATAAGAATCCCAAATGCCCCACTGTTTCTCCTCCTCCACACAGGCCTGGCCCCTGCTACAGCAGTGACCTCGATCTCAGCCCACAACAGCAGGAATGGCAGTGATTCTAATCACTCAGTCATGCAACCTTCATCCTGTGGGGTGGGGACTGTGTTTGACTCAGTGCCCCAGGGCGAGGATGCAGACTGGTCACTCCCACACAAAGAGGCCCAGTAACCAGGTGGGAGATGAGTTACCACTGCTTCTTTTTAATATAAAAAAACATCTTTTCCGGTTTGTAGTCTTTGAGGAGGTTTTTGATAGGGCATTTCTCATAGCCTGTCTCTTCTCGGACACATCAAAGGGAGATAAGTCGGAGTATGGTAAACAATGTCGTAGAAGAAGAATGGACAGCCAGTATCTTTCATCTCAAGCACCTCATGTCATATATTTATGGTAAAATCTAATAAATATGGAAAATTATGTAGAAATCAAACGGAACACGGACATGTGGGAGCCATGTTTTATATCATCCATATAGCCATTGAATATATATAGTAGTAGCCACGATTTAATCATTCCAATACAGAATGTATATATATTTATATTGGGACATATGCTAGTAGGTCAAAATGAACAACAAAATGCCAGATAATAGCTTATTCGTCTACAAATATTCAAACCATCACAATTTGTACAAAACAATATGCTGTAATCTGCTGATATGCTTTCTAAACTCTTAAGTAAATAACCCTATTGTTGGCTTCATCCTAACAGTGCCTGAACCATATTATTTCCCCTTCCACCCAGCCCTTACTGTATTGCTTTCGCCTTCAATGAAGCAAGTCTCGATTTTCCACAGTTCAGGAACTCCTTTTCAATTTAAATGGAGTTGTTTAATTGTTTCTATCAAAATGATATATTTTCAGAGACAAAGTGTAAACTACCTCAACCTGAAACCATATTTGCAGAAAGAGAACATGACTCTCTGAGGTACATGACAAAAAGCTCTTGAAAGAATCAATTACTATGTATCTCCTGAAAGCATGTCAACAAAGGTCCTGACGAAATAATTAGAAATAACATCAAATGCAAGCTCCCAACTTTACATGACAAATCAAAATCAACACACAAAGATAGGACAACACCACCACAAACATCCATGTTGTTGTGACAGGGCCATAATTGGGAACATGCAGGAACAGTTACGTATCAATTACCCTCGTAATGAGGGGTGGACTCTCCACCTAGCCCCGAGACATGCTCATTAAATTTGTCAAATTACGAGATATAGGTTGAGCCCAAGGCCGCCCTGCATCAGTTCAATGGCAGTGGGAGCCGACTTGTCAGGTTAGATACTGTTAGGAGGTACAGCATGGAGGAATTCAGCTTGGGGATATGTTTTCAAGTTATTGTCCTAATCTCCCGGATTCAATTATTCTTGGGACAAGTGGGTCTTGTTGTGGTCATCTGAGGTCAGTGTTGCTGTGAGCATTGAACCATGGCACATCATGTCTGGGTAGACTTGCACAAGTCTCTAAGGCAATTATTCTTAGTTTAATTCCTCGATTATATAAATGATATGAACAAGTTGTCCCTATAAGAGACTGATGGCCACTTATCTAGACTTGCCTATATGGAGGATAGAATTACTACACATCCATGGACTTATCTTTCAGTACAGCCTTGGAGCAAGGCTAATGTCTGGGCAAATGGGAGACCGAAGTGTGTTTTGTAGTTCATTGTTGCCTTTGAGAGCAGCCATTATACTAAATGTTTTTATTTCCTGTTACGATTCATGAACGTGTTATCATTGTTGATTAGCTGGTACTGTTATTATGGTTAACAATGTAAAAAGCAGAATTTGTTTTGATTATTATCAACTGTTTTATATATCATGTCTATATGCCACCCACTACATCTCCAACACCAATACTCCCCCTCCCCATTCAATCAGTCCCTCATCACACTTCCCAACCTCCCACACCAATACTCCCCCACCCACCACTATCCACTCATCCCTACATCACCCACACCTCCCCCACACCAATAACCCCCATTCCCATCCACAAAGCCCCACACCACCTCCATCAACACTGTCCCACCTCCCATACCCCAGCCCCTATCTGTTCAGCCCCTATCTGTTCAGCCCCCTCACTATCACCTACACCTATACCAATACCAATACCAACCCACATCCACACCATCCAATGTCAACTCTATCCTTATAATATACTGATCTGCAAAAGAGGACCACATTGAAATACTTCACAGAGTGAGTGAATCACTCAGGTACAGTATACATCACTACACATCGGTTTAAAAATGGAGAAAAATCAAAGGTGAGTAGTATTTGCCAAATTGTTTTTATTGATGAGCTCATCATAAAATGATTCTCATTGAAAAAAATAAGTTCCTCAGTGACATATTAGAATTTGATGTGACCGCCACAAGCCATTTCCTGTTATTCTGATCGTCAGGTCAAACATACTGCACAAAATCTATACAATTGAAAAGTACAACAAACCACCCCCTCACCCCCACAAACACCCTGTGGCTCCCCACCAAGGGGCACCTGCCCCACCCTGCTGCATGCCCTATAATTACCTGCAGCTGGGAGGAAGGGGGCTGGCCTCACCCCCTGACACTGCCTGTGCCCGGGACAATCCCCTTATATAAGCTAATCATCCATGTCCAGGCCAGCATTCACTTCATCAACACCAGTAATTCCTTCTTTCTTCACCTGGTAATCCTATTCCCCACACAACTAGCATTCACATCCATAAGTCCCGGGTTATGTGGTGGCAGAATTGATGGCTCACCTTTCACTGAGGCGGAGAGGAATCAACAAACTCATCAACAGATATTCATCATAATGTCTCTGGTCTTTCATTAACACACTTCTGTCAAACAGGTACAAAAGTCTCGACAAATCCACCAAGTTGTACATCCCCTATCATATTTCTCGCTCAAAGGAGTGTCCTGGGTTTGAGTCCTGTAGCAATCCACCATTACAGATACCTGGTATCAACACATCGTTCAATGATGCATCAGATCCTGCAGCAAGCCTACAGAAGAACCACACCATCTCAATGTTCAATAACGTCCTCCACTCCCTGACAAATCAGATCTATCCGTCTCGTACCATGGCAAGGATTGACTGACAAGATGAAATTTCATTAGCGATTCCTAACCGGTGGTCAAGCTGATGCAAGGTGAAGGCCGAACTGGACAGGGGACACTGCAGGTATGCTCTGTGTCCACACACAACCGAGGTTACCTCAAGTTCAGCCTCAGTCCACGGACATAATTGACAGCTTGCTGGGAAACTGTATCTTCCTAACTGAACAATGCGCATCTACAACAGGCATACCTGTGTCTACAACTAGACTTATTTTAGGCTACAATAAATTATTAGTTAATAAATAATTTACGCACATTTTGAAATTTCAAATATTCCTGCATATATAAAGTGGAAAAAACAATGTCTCGCCTTATAAATAAACGCTTCTTGTTTCAGTATTAACATGATCTCTCAGATGTTAAATGTAACACATGTTCAGATTTATTATCACGATTTATAGAAATCTCCTTTTCAATTCAAACTCTCTTTACTTTCATGGCAAACATTCCGATCACTTATCAAACACATACCTCTGCGAAAGGAGTTTTATCACACCTCTCAAGAAACTTCAAAAGTGTGTCTTTGGTCAAGATTAATTCACAAAAATGTCAACAATTCAAACAAAAACTGAGGAGGGTTGTTTAAACAGTGAACATGTGCTTGAATCCTTCTGGGGTAGGTGAATAAACTACAGCTTTACAGATTCCATTGTAGCGGTTATGATTTATGACACAACAACACAAGGTTCCTCGCAAACCTCAAACGCTTGACTCCTGAAAGGTGTTAAATCATTCATTGAATACTTCTAATTCTCAAACCTTAAGTATTTCATATACAGATAGTACAGTTTATACTAAACAAAAAATGCTTGGGATCATGAATATTTTTTTGATATTTGTTCGTAGTGAAGACCGAGCACACAATTTCATAAAAATATCCTCCAAAATATTCATGATCCCTAAGTTTTTCTGTTCAGTATATTTCAATGACAGCAGTATCTTCCATAATCTGTGATTATCCCCATATCATCAAATGAATGCCCTGATAGATGGACAAGTGAAAGGCTGGAAGGGCTATAAGCAGAGTTGCCAAGACTTGAGAGCCAAAACAAATAAACAAGTTGCCAAAGTAGTCGGCCACATCTTAGCTAAGTCCAGTGTATAAATCAAAGTGACCATGCTTGTTGTTGTGTGTTTGTTGAGGAGTGAGCTGGGGACACCTTCAACACATCTGTACAAGTAAATCTCGCAGGATCACTGTGTCATGCGGGCAGGTTTTTGTTGAGGTCATGTCTGGGGCTCGTCTCTCTTACAGACACCTACAGCATAAATATAGTAAAACAATCACCTCGTTCCTAGCTTATCCCATTCTCAGCCCTTGCAGCCTCTACTCATCCTTTTTGGCCTGGAATTAAGAGACTTTAGGGTTCCTCTATTTGTGTCTATGTGGCAAAGCTTTCAAAAAGTGGGTGGGTGAGTGAGTGAGTGAGTGCTTTTAGCAATATTCCAGCAGTATCACGGCGGGGGGACACCAGAAATAGGCTTTACGCATTGTACCCATGTCGGGAATCGAACCCTGGTCTTCAGCGTGATGAGCAAACACTTTAACCACTAGGCTACCCAACCACCCCAGTCACACATCAGTGACAAAATGTATGTCTGATGCAATTCCTTATTTTGACTTATATCATATGTCCCCGTGTTTTTTTCAGGTGAATTGACATGATACTGTCACCTTTTTGTGAACACCTGGTACTATCACTACTTAACAGTGATTCCTAAACACATGCTTATGATTTAGTCGGAATCATACAATGGACTTTTAGAGAGAGTTCTAGTCTGTCTTACAGACCCTGATACAAATATATATCAAATACAGCCCATGCAAGTCTATAATGTTTGGCAAGTCTAGATTACTGCAGTATCATGAAGAAAGTCACTGGGCTCCCTAAAATTATTATATTTTCTGTACGATATGTTCATGACTAGATGTAAGTCTAGAGAGAGTTGCATCATGATGCAAATGGCTTTTGTCCCTTTTTATTTATAGAATTATTTTGATTTCACCTAATACATAACTTTATTTTGGTGCCCATTGGCTTGTCTACTTGGAGGCTTCTCCACACTTCACTAAACTCAGCTCCCAACTGATGAAGGGCTTCAAACCATGCTTCAAAGATTCTGTTATGAAATCCAGTCAGGGATGGCTAGAGCATCATCAAGACAGCCTTCCTCCCTCATCTACATCAGCGCTCATGATGCATTAGCCATATGTCAACATTGCTCTCATTCTATGGGTCATCAAGTTAAGAGTTCATTCTATCATTTCATCATTTTTGAGAATCCCTAATGTGTTAGGAACCACTTAAGTTACAAGTAGGCTATAACAGCTTTAAAAACCGCATCGCTATGACGTCATATTATCCACATGGCTCAACACCTGTTGTGTTATTAATGAAAAGAAATGCTGTCAATACATTTCCTACCTGCCAACTTTTTCTCGCGTTGAGCTCCGATTCCAAGCTCAAATCTCCCATGTCGAAAACCTCGAACTCTTTCACTGAAACTGCGAACCCAATTATGGTTCTCCTCCTCCTCAGAACCCTCATCGTCATAGTAACTATGTCCGAATGTCTCAAACCCTTCATCCTTCTTCTTCGACCAACAATTGGTCGCCATTTTCACAATAGCTTTCAAGATGAAAAAGAAGTATACTCTTCCATAACAACCATAATGATCAAATTTGATTGTCAAAATGAACTCCCAGTCCGTTTATCTCATTGATGAACAGTGTCATGAATTATTTGATCTTACAATTGGCATGAAAAGTGTCAAATCAGCAAAACAAGCCAATATTCCACTTCTGGGTTGTTAAAATGGTGGTACCTCTATCTCCATCCATCAGCAATAATGGCAACTCGTCAACAGGAGTAGACTTGACATGTGTCTGTCCTGGTTGTCCGTATGTCAAGCATTTGTTGATGTTTCTACAATAACCACTGTATTTACACCAACTCACCTCCACTGCTACTCACACTATCAGGGAGCTGTTTGAACATTTTGGGGAGGGTATAACAGTTATCACTTTCAGATAAAATCTTCCTACTTTTGGAAACTTCAAAATCAATCTTGTCTATGGAGCCAATAAAATGCCCACTGCTAGAGATAGGTAAAATACATCTCTAAGGCACCAGCGTTTCTATGTTAATGTACACTCTCCATGGAAATGTGAAATCAGAATCTTGGTGTGAAATCAGAATCTTGGTGTGAAATCTGAATCTTGGTGTGAAATCTGAATCTTGGTGTGAATGAGAATCTTGGTGTGAAATCAGAATCTTGGTGTGAAATCAGAATCTTGCCTCCTTTATGCATTTCATCCACTTCCTAGTTATCCTAGATGAGGTTTTGTGTCGTATCTGTTGTCACTGTATTCATATAACACAATCTTTGTAATAAATATAACATTGAGCTCCATATTATCCAACATAAGACTTCAGTTCACACTATGATCCTTTCACAGCTTGCGACTTAAACTTCCAATAATGTTCTCTACAGGGCCTTCATCCCTCTTGTCCATTCGTGTGTGATTTGTCTCATCAAATCTCATTAAATCCCGAGTAATTGTCAGTATAACACATCATAACACCCCAGGTCAAACTTATCTTCTGCTTCCTTGACCCTGAGATCAGCCTAATTGGATGAACATTTGATCAAGTATTGCCGAAACATTACTTGTTTCACCTCAGATAACTTTGGGCAGGAATCGTTCATCGTGCTGACATGAAAATGGTCAAATAGGATTCACATATCTAGGTTGCAGTAATTTTCAGGTTTGATCCACATGAATCCTACCTCTGAGCGGTCGACCCAATAGGTAGTTCACATCCAGTTATCTCCTATACGATAACCTCACTCTAAATAGAACAAATCCACTGGGAATCTTTGCTGGATGAAATCGGTGAAAAGATACAAAAAGAACTGCACGTGAGAAAATCCGGATTTCTTTCCTCCATTGAAAACAGCTCCAGTTCATGTAGCCTTATCAAGATTCTCTTACACACTCACAGTCTAACAAAATGATTCTTTTGGCTCTGTTCAAGTACAATGGTTTAATTGACTACGGTTCCAAAACCTTCCATTCAATATCTTGAACAACCACAGGAACTAAATAACATTTTGGTCCTGAAAAGCAATCCAGTGGTCAGAAGGATAGGATCTATCTTCAACCTCACATGATATACAAGCACTAATGTTCCAGTGAAGAGAGCCCACCTGTTTATCCTATGTGAAACATCATAGACTCCCAACTCCCAGCAGTGTCAGGAGTACGTAGAGAACCCTCCAGCAGCATTCAGCCAATGATAGCAGTTCTCCCGGTACGCAGCTGATACCTATGTCTTACACTGATCACAACAAGCCTGACTTTACCCAACACTGGATCCATGTCCCCCCGGCTGGGTTAGTCCCACAGAGAAATCTGGTTGTGTACCATTGTTTTACAGGTCAGGAACCAAATTGTTTTCTCCCTGGTGAAACAGTCTGGCATACTGTATGGAGCCACCTGCTGTGTTTGTGAATTAACTGCAGCCAGGTGGTCACATGAAAGGGTGGACAGTGTTTCCGTAACCTCTTGTGAGGATTGATCTGTTGGGCTGACCACTGTTAGGTATCACTTTGTCCTTCTAAATGATGGGAGGAATGAATCAGACAGAGTCGTGAATCCAGTCTTCCGCAAATGACAGACAGAGTGACCACTGTCAAAATATCAACTTAGTTTAGGTGGGGACAATAGAGTAGGAAACTTGATGCTCCCTGTCCGGAGAGTGACAGACAAGTTGACCACTGTCAGACTCTGACCCTGTACCTCCAGACCAGGCCAGGACAAGACAGGATGACATTCCAGGTAGTAGTGGTCAAGCAAATGACAGACGGCCTGACCACTAGGATGCCACGTGTTCAGAATATATATATCAGGTGGCAGGTATGTATGGGCATGCCTGTCCAGTACTCTTGACCACTGTCCTAGAATATCATTCCATATCATCCACTTGAAATCAATACAATCCTAGAATATCATTCCATATCATCCACTTGAAATCAATACAGTCACAGATTATCATTCCATATCATCCACTTTGAAGTAAGATGACCACTACCATAGAATATCATTCCATATCATCCACTTTGAAGTAAGATGACAGCTACCATAGAATATCATTTCATATTATGCAATTAAAAAACAAAATATTGTACATGTCAGACTCAAGTCACGCTCAGGAGGAATCTTGATGACAGTCAAAGAACACCACTTCACTGGTTCCACCACATTTAAAGCAGACTGACCACAATCATAGAACATCACTCTATTTCCTCAACATACAGTACAACAAGGACAGCATGTTGTCTGTGAGGTCAGACGTCCAGCAGCCACAGTCTGACCATCATCACGGTATATCACCCGGTTCCTCCCCTTGTACAGAAATGGGTTCGGGCCTTGACAAGTGGGCGAGTCTGGGGTGTCGCTGGACACACATGATAAACAATGGTCAGTCGTATACCCCAGTGATTTATAGTCGAACACTCTTGAGGTCAGCTGGAGCGAGCTTGACCAATCTCATCAACACAACCTAGACACTGGAGAGTGCTGTGGAATTTACTCACACACAAAGCTTGCTACAACCAGGGCAGTATAAGAGTATAAGGCAAGTTCACTGTAAGCAGTAAAGTTAATGCAGCATATTTGAGTTAATCGACTGCTAGTTCGGGTTAATGAACCTTAATTTTCTATTAGCCTGGGCCAGTTCTACAA